GCAATGAAAGCCTGAGGTGTTTTCACTGCATTATAAGGAAAAAATAGCTTGACTAGTCTTGAGAGTAGGGATATTGCTTCTAATACATATAAGTTGGGGTGAAAGGTTTATTCAGAAATGTAGATGATAAAGCTCAATTCCTTGAGAAAGCCATCTACATGATGTGAGAGTCTGGTAAAGGTTAAATTTCCACAGAGAAAGAGAATAATGCAGAGATTTAAAGAACAATTCCAGGAAGTACACTGTAGGTGGGCAAGGGCTTAACCCATAAGAAGTAAGTTGATGGCTCTAAAAAGACTCCAAATTCAAGAAAAGGGTCAAGCTAGCTCAGACCAGTTAGGGTCAACCTGAGGACACCTGAAAAATGTTAGTGCGCCTGCTTAATGAACTTCATTACTATTATCTGACATACCCCGCATAAAATTAGAGCCTCATTAACAAGTCATAGGATGTATGATCAAGGGAGGGGCAACATACTTGAGCATATCAAGGGGAAACATGTAAGGAGGGGTGTAACCCGGGAAGGGATGGACCAATCCAGGCCTGGGAGGTTTCTCACCGAATTTGAATGTATAAAAGCATGCTTGCCCTTGCACTCAGGGCCCATCCCTCCTTAAGAGGGGTGGAGCCTGCTTTTGGCCAGAAATGTCTAATCCTTTGGACTTTCTCTGTAATAAACTTTCTTGATACTAAATTTTAGGTGTCAAGTGTATTTCTAACAATTTGGTGCCCAACGTGGGGCCACATCTAGACTTTGGAGGGGATAAGGTAAGACAGCCTGGGAAAAGTGCTCGAGCTGTATTTCAGCGGTCTTGGTGAGTTGAACCTTTCCCAACCAAACTCCTGATCTTGGACCACGTGGGAGAAGTCCAGAGGATTGGGGAGGCCACCGGCAGACCACAACAGCCAATATATTGGGCAAAGGTAACAAACGATCTTTTCTGGTCTTAAACTCCAGAGGTTCGGTGATCTGATCAATTAGCCTTGAGTTAAGAACATTCCTTCTGATAGCCCTCTGGGAAGGATGTTAGAAGGTTGGGAGTCCCTCCCAGGACTAGAAGGAAGAATAAAAAGAAAATGATTAAATATTGTTGCCAGGAGTGGACCAAGGAGCCTATTTTAGTCCCATCAGTGTTCTGGCCTAGATTTGGATCAGATGAGGATTGGGTTTGTCAACTGCTAAATTTGTATGTGAATGATAAGGCAGAGGCCTCTAAAGAAGAGAAAAACTATGGGGGTTGCTGGGGCCCCGGGGCTATAGCCCCAACAGCAGTGGACATATTCTTAAGCCAAACAAAAGGGAAAGAAAAAGGGTGAAGCCATAGCTCCCATGTTCCCTTTAAGGGAGGTCCCCATGATGCAGTCTAGAGGTTAGAGGTCCTGGAATCCCAAAATCACGATACCCGGGTCCTGCCCGAAAGAATTCAACCCAAGCCTTCCTGCAGCCAAAAACAAGGTTTATTGAAGATTTGCCATATTAGCTAGACTCTTAAGGAATCTGAGCATCTATGGGCTATTGGCTAGATTCTAAGAATCGGAGCCTCTTAATAGAGACAAGATGGACCTTATATATAGAAAGACTGTGGGAGGGATCTAGGAGTGGCCAAGTAGTTTGGGGTGATGGGAGGAAGGGCCTAAGGACATCTGGATGGGAGTGGCCAGTAAGCTGGGGTGAACAGAACTGGACCTGGACCTGGACCTCGTGGCCAAGGGAGAATGGAGCCTAGCTAGGATTGAGGGCGGGAAATGGCCAGGGGCCATAGGGAGGTAAAACAAGGGAAGGGAGATTGGGTCTAGCCACAATGAAAGGCCAGTTGATGGGATTATAGCCTCAGGGGAAAGCCAGAGATTTGGCCAGGTGGGAAAGTCCAGGGTTTTTCCTTTCTGGGGCCCAGATTCCAACCCCATCACCCATGGGTGGTCAAGGAAGGGGAATTGGTTTTGTAAATGCTCCCCTCAGTTCTACCAAAGTCAGGGCATTTAAGAAAGAGATGAAATCACTGATATAAGACCCCGTAGGACTGTCAGAACAATTAGATCAGTTCCTGGGTCCGAACATTTACACCAGGGTGAGTAATGTCAAAATTTAACATTCTTTTTTCCGGAGAGGAAAGAGGAATGATAAGAAGGGCGGGGTGATGGGAGAGAGGAAAACACCCTCCTGCAGCAGAGACAGAAAACAAGAATCATAGAGCAGACAGTGAAGGAAGTAAAGTCTATAAAGGGGCCTGTGGGAACAAAGCCTCCCTTGGGGCCTAAGCGCAATTAGGGTTAGGGTTTAACCTGTTCATTTTCTGTTTGTGTATAGTTCCAGCTAATGGATAGCATCCTGGTTTCACAAGCTTTTTCCTTTGGCCCAAGCTATTTTCTTATGGACCCCTTAGTATTTTGTAAACATATGGTTCCTGTGGAAAAACAACTCTTCCCCTCCCCCTCCTATTCTCTTTGCTTATCAGTGAAGTGATGAGGAATCTTCCTGAAAAAATTCATTCAGACAGTCTCCAAGTTAAAGAAAGGCATTTATTGGGGTGATGCATCCAAGCAGGCCTGCTTTCATGGGGGAGAAACAGCATAGGCCTTGCTCCCTGTAGGAAGTAAAGTTGTTTAGCCAGGTTAAAAGTATAGTTTAAATACAATTTTCTGGAATGGGGGGGAAGGGGACAAGACAACAGGAGGAGTAAGCACAGCTCCAAAATGCCTGGAATATCAGGTAGTCCAGAGGTGCTTTTATCATACAGATAAGCAAAGAATAGGAAAGTGGGGGAGAAGAGTTATTCTGGAAATGGGGTACTTTGTGAAAGCACACAGGTAAGTCCAAGGTGGTGGGCCTCAACACGCAGTGTTCTTTGATCACTTTTATGGCTGGTCACACCCTGCATCTTATATCTCACATAGCCCTTGCTCCATCTGCTTCAAGCACTCCTTTCCACCTCATCTGAAAGACACAGGTCGGAGCTTGTAGCCTAGTATTGGGTAGGATAGCCAGTCACAGGATGACCCCTAGAATCCTAGGAGTGAGGGTATGAGCTGGATGGGTGGGGCCCAAGGAGTTGTTACAGACATATTTTAAAATAGGTTGTAATTGATATTTGTTGTTTCACCTGGCCTAGAGAGCCAGCCCTTGTAACAAAGAATTTAAAAAGAAGAAAAAGAGGAAGAAGAAGGGAGAAAACAGAACTATCAATATTCAAAAAATAATATTCTATGCAATGTTCTGTGATAGACCCTCCGTTAGGGACCCAGGGGCACCACGCCCCGGGGCCTCTGGCTCAGCTTCCCCTAACGGCTGTTGCAACATCCTGGGTGAGATCCTCAAGGGTGGGGTGCAACATCCTGTTCTGTAAATAACCTGATCTGGCTTCCCGGCACCCCACCGGACCCTGTTTTGTAACTGGACAGTATAAATATTTCAGATAAAACCCTTGGTGGCACGGCCCCTGGGATGCACGCCTGGGGTCCGTCCCCGGCCGGCTCAAATAAATGCGCTCTCAATTAATGTCAATTGGGTGTGATGCTCTGATTTCTCTCGGGCGTCCAGTTCAGTTCCATATCCCTGAACTGGGAGATCTGAACCAATGTGTGTGTCAGTGGGAGGAGGGAGATGTCTTGTCATATTTCTTCTTTGAAGATAGACTTTTGGCCCATAACAACATCCAGTTTTCCTTTTGGGTGTATTTTGTTCCTATTTTTTCTATTTTCTATGGGCCCCATAACAACCCTATCAGTCGGGAACAAAGGACTATTTATCTCCTATTTACAGAGGAAGCAGCTTTTGACTTAATCTGTTGATCAGTCCTTTGGGTCTTCCGGAGCACAAGCCCTGCTCAGACTGTGCCAAACTGTTTAACTGCCTAGATTAGTAACTGAAAGAGACCTAAGGGGACATTAGGTCCAGCCCTTTCGCTTAGCTCTGTAAATTAAGGCTCAGGGAAGGTAAAAGGACTGCCCAAGGTCCCACAGGCAGTAATCCTCAGGGGAAGGATGTGAATACAGATCCCCTGATTCCAAAGACAGTTTATTTTTACTAGGAGGGGGGGGGGGGGGGGGGGGGGGGGGACATTAAGATTCAGACAGGGAAGAGTCTTGCACAAAGTCATGCAGCTCTGCCAGAGCCAGACCTCAAACTTTGGATCCTAAGTGCAATGCTTGTTCCATTGTACTGGACATCCTGATTGTCATGGCCTCAGCATTGGGAAAGCATCTGGTCCAACCCAGCCCTCAACAGAAATCCACTTTCCAAGAGCCCTAGCAAGTCATCATCCAGCCTCCACTGAGAGACTCCAACACAGTTTTCCTGACTCTAAGACTGCTCTTCTGGGGCAGCTAGATGGCACAATGGATAGAGCACCAGCCTTGAAGTCAGGAGGACCTGAGTTCAAATCTAGCCTTAGACACATAACACTTATTAGCTGTGTGACCCTGGGCAAGTCACTTAACCCCATTGCCTAGCCAAAAAAAAATGCTTTGGGGCAGCTAGGTGGCACAGTGGATAGAGCACCGGCCCTGAAGTCAGGAGGACCTGAGTTCAAATCCGGCCTCAGACCAAACACTTGACACCTACTAACTGTGTGACCCTGGGCAAATAACTTAACCCCAATTGCCTAAAACAAAACAAAACAAAACAAAACAAAAGACTGCTCTTCTGTCTACACCATGCTGCTTCTCAAGATGAATCCAAGAAATAGACAATGAGTGGGGAACAGCATGACTGGTTTGTAAACAAGCTGGCAGAGATGCACTTCTGACACTCCTTTGTATAACACACCAGCTCACATGCAGAAGTCAATTTTTAATGAGAAAGATGACAGTTCAAAGATTTATCTTGGGCAAGTAGGACCATGTATTTACCAGAGACTTGAGTAAAGAAGGAAAAGACACAGGAATATGTCTAGGGGATCTGAAGGAAAGAGAAACAATCTGGGAATAGCATAGGGCTAAATGAGAGGCACTGGGCGGGAAGATTAAGAAGCCACTCCCATAACTAGTGATCAGGAAGGGATTGTTTTAGTTTTTTAGAGTAAAAGCAAGATGAATAGAGGGAGAACAGACCTTTCTTTTCCTGATGGTATGAATTCTCTCCTTTCTGACAGAGAAGGAGCCTAGAAGACTGTTGATTATTCAGTAGAAACCAAGGTGAGTCACAGAGCCTTCAAAAGAAGGTCCCTGTTTAACCTCAGGGTGGACTGGGGGGCCTCTTTTGTTGGAAGGCACTTTGTTCCAAAGGGCTTGTGTTCATTTTCATGGTGCTCACCCTTCTCTGGGCTGATATAAAGAATGTACAGTGGAGTTAACATGCATGGCTGAGGTTATCATGGAGATGAAACATTAAGTAACCAACAAACTATGTTACTTGAGAAAGCAATTCTGACCTCAAGGAACATTTTTCTTGAGAGAGGTGTGTGACTGTCCAAGGACCTGATCACTCCTTGGAGAGTTACACAACAAACAGGTATTTGGGGCTCTGATCAAGCTCCCACCTTTGTTAGAATGTGTGCGTATCCAGGACCTGAGCTCACCAAGGATATGTACATAAAACAGAATATTAAGGTTGTTTTTTCCTGCTTTACATAGATATAAAAGGGGCATCTGAAAGGGGATTCTTTGGAGTACTTTGATGTCAGAGATAGGGACACTGATCAAGGCTGGGACTCGTGCACCATCCTTGTTGTTTAAGAGCAGGACGCTGCTCTTTTGGCCTCCTGATCAGACCTCTTGATAGTCTCCAGTCTCCCCAGTCTCGTAGGTATTTGAGCTCGCCTGGTCAGTGAGTGTGTATCCTTTCTTTTCTTATTCCTCTTTTTCTTAATTTTAATTATTACTTATTTGCATTGAATGTTATTCTTATCTTTATATGCTTGTGTTGCCTTAATCATTATTAATCATTGTAAAATAAATGTGATTGTTAAGTTTATACTGAGTACGTGTCATCATATCTTGAGATCCGAACCTAAAGTGAAAGTACTGCACAGTCTGTAATCCTTTTATTATGTATATATATATAAATAAAGGCAAGAATGTGAACCAAAACAGAAAAAAATGACCTTGTCATCTTAGTTTTGGGGCTTGCTCTGATTCATTTCTTTTTTAACCCTCAAAGAATATTGCATTTCTGAAGGAAAAAATGGCACTTCAGGTAGAAACATCCTTTCAGATTTGATTAAAAAATGATAAACAGTTGTGGACTGACAATCAGGAACTGATGGGAGTCAAATGAACTTTCTAACCCAAAGTCAGATAGAGACTTGGTACACATGTTCATGTAATCCATAGCATTTTATTATGTACCTACTACATGTCAGGTGTTTGCTGTAGTGCAAATGGTATAAAGAGAAAAATAAAACTCCTGAACCTAAAAGACTTTACTTTGATCTTTGTAGTAGGATGAAGTTAAAGAGGATGGGATTTGGTCCCCCAAAAGGAAAACTCTGGACTTTCCCACATGGCCAAATCTCTGGCATTCCCTGAAGCTATAATCCTATCAACTGGCCTTTCATTATCTGCTCTGCCCAACCTCCCAATTCTGTTACCTAGCCCTCCATTGGCTATTACCACCAGAGGGCCTGGCTACTTCCCACCCTTAATCCTATCTAGACTCCATTCTTCCTTGGCCAAGGGGTCTAGGTCCCTAGTGTTCTGTTCACCTCAACTTACTGGCCATTCCTATCCAGATCCTCCTTAGACCCCTTCTCCAGTCACTCCACACTATTTAGCCACTCCTGGATCCCTTCCACAGTCCTTCTGCGTTTAAGATTCATTTTGTCTCCATTAAGGTGCTCAGATTCTTATAATCTAGTCAGTGCTCAGATTCTTTAAGAGTCTAGCCAAGGGCTCAGATTCTTGAGATCTGGCCTTCTTGCATTAGCAGTACAAATGCTTAGATTCCTGAAGAGTCTGGCCAATATGGCTGACTCTTAAAATCTCCCTCCACCCCCCCCATTGATGTTCTAATAAACCTTGTCTTTGGCTGAAAGAAGGCTTAGGTCGAATTCATTTGGGTAGTACCTGTGTCTCTTGCTCTCAATATTTTGGGGTCCCAGCACCCCTAGTCCTCTAAACCTCAACAGTAAAACCTGTCAGACCTGGAATAGCCTTTGACAACCAAGGTCACATCCATACCATGAGGATGCATATAAATAGATGTGGTGAAGGATTTTCCTCCTCCTAAACCAAAATTGGTCCAAATATAGCTTTCTCCCTTTGGTTAATTTGTTTTTAAGTATAAATAATTTGTTTCATATTTCGTACTTGAAAATGACAGTAAAAACAAACACTTTCATATATAAAGGAGAACAGAAAAAAAAGGATGGTGTATGAAATCACAAATTGTGATTTTATATTTCTTGGTGTTTTGCAGATGTAAAAGTGACTGTCCTGCCCCTCATTACCTGAAGGCTATGTATGTTATTTCTATTTCTTTGAACTTGACAAGCAAAATAAATAAATAAATAAATAGATAGATAAAATGGGGCAGTTAGGTGGCACAGTGGATAGAGCACTGGCCCTGAAGTCAGGAGGACCTGAGTTCAAATCCTGCCTCAGACCAAACACTTGACACTTACTAGCTGTGTGACCCTGGGCAAGTCACTTAACCCCAACTGCCTAAGCAAAAAAATAAAAAAATAAAATAAAAAAAATGACCTTGACAAAATTTACTCACTATTTTTTTTCTTTAGGGATTAATTGATAATTTCTTTGATTTTATCTTCTGAGATTACCTTATTAAAATTCTTTATTTCTCATACTTTACCCTAAGCATTTAGCCATTTGATTTGTTGTCAATTTTTCCAGCATATAGTTGGGTAAAATCTTTGCTAATAAAATTCCTTCATTTCCTCTGGATTTGTTATACATTTTCTTTTTTTGTTGTTGTTTATTTGTTTTTGATACTGGTAAAATAAATTGTTTTCTATTAAAACAACACCAACAACAATACTACATTATAGTTTATAAAATTTTCCCCAAGGACTGATTTGTTAACCTCCTAAAAGTTTCTTGTCTTGTTTTTGTTATTTTCTTTGAAGAAATTTTATCGTTTTTATTATTTGGGTTTTTTAACCAACAAATTCTTTTGGATTGAATAATTTCATTTAAAAAAAAAGTTTGAATTCTCTCTTCAAAGGATTCATTATCATTTTTCCATTGTGACCAGTAAATTATATGCTTAAAATTTTTATTCATCTGTATTTAAACATGGTATTGTATGCCCTAGCACTTGGTTAATTTCTGTAAAAATGCCATTCATAACTGTGACATATGTAACCTACATCATATTCCAATTCAGTAATAACAAGGGATTTAAAGTATCTCACTTTCTATAGATCTATTCAAGGCTGTTAACTTCCAGCCTTTGGTTAATTAATATTTTTTGAACGATTAAATAAAATGAAAGTTATACCACTTGTGTACTCCCAGCTAGCAAAAAATCTGGGGACTTAAAGAAGTGCCAGGCCCAGCGTTTCTAGAAAAGCCTTTAGCCAACAGTGCTGCCTATAGAAAAGGGAACAGAATTTCACAGTCAATCAACGATCATGCTTTTTCTGGGCCTGTAAGATCTTGGATCTTTGCTTAGTTACTCAATGTAGAGGATCTGAAGGAGGAGACACAGTTCATACTCTCAATGTACATATATTCTTCTTAGTGATACTGATAACAAGGGTAGAAGTCAAGCCAAGTCAAGAAGCATTTATTAAGCACCTACTCTGTGCCAGGCACTGGGATAAGCACAGGGGTTACCATGAAGAGCAAAATAGTCATTACCCTCAAAAAGCCGTGGTGAATAAAAGCCAGAGAGACAAGGTTTCCAGGTATTATTAATCAGTTTATTAATTAGGCTAGCCAATAATCCATGAATTTATGGTTAGTGGTTTCTCTCAGTAACCACAGATGCCAAGAGAGACTCTGAAACACCTTAAATCAGTCATTTACTTTCTGACAGGAAACTCCCCTGACAAGTAAAACTCAACCTGATTGGTGGACATTTAATGAGGAGGTGGGCTAAAAGTCTTCAGCTCCTCCTGCTGAGAACATGGTTTAATCCTGAGAATCAGCAGCCTCCAGGTCTCTGGGCAGGGGAAGCCATTTCCATCTGGACCTCACTGGCTAGTTTTCTCCTTCATGAGCAGGGTCACCTTAAATTCTAATGGAGGAATCAAAGACAAGGAGACATGTCCCAGGGAAAAGATCTGGCTGAGGCTGGCTTTCATTTAGGGAGCAGACAAAAAGAAAGGGTCCCTGCCCAGGTAGATGCCTTGGGGCTGGAAGATTACCTTACCTAGTTACACCCTTCAGAGAGTGTCTGACCTTTTCTGGAATGGGGTGTTAACAGAAAGAGAGAAAAAGGATGGATCACAAATTAATTATTAGTTTTTAATATGATAATATAAGATCGAGTTTTCTCAGAGTTCCAAGTCTGATGACTGTGAGGAAAATGGTGGATCAAAATGTATAATTAGCTGTTAATATAGTAGTATAATATTAGTCTCTCTTAGAGCTCACAGTCTAATAACAATAACCTTTATGCAAACAAGATATATGAAGGATAAATTGGAGATAATACTGAAAGCAAATACCCCAGCACTAGGGGAAATCAGGAAAGGCTTCTTGCAGAAGATTAGATTGGAGCCAGCTTCTGAAGGAGGCCAGGAAAGGCTGGATATAGCGATAAAGAGGAAGAATTCCAGGAAGGTAGGACAGCCTCTGAAAATGCTCCAAGTTGGGAGGTGGAGTGTATTGTCTGAGAAACAGCAAGGAAGCCAATTTTACTAAGTGGCAAAATGCATGGGGGGAGGAAGGTGGAACTACAATACATGGGGTAGTATACATGCCCACTATGTATGAAAACATGAGGTGGGGGGAGGGGGGAAGGACAGAAGGAGGGGAGGAGAAAAGAAGAGGAGGGAGGGCAGGAAAAGAGGGAAGTATCAGAGGAGAAGAGAAGAATATGAGAGAAGTTTGAAAGGTAGAATGGACAGGACTCGACAACCAATTAGAGAGGGGGAGGCAAAGTAAGGGAGAGGGATAAGTTGAGAATGAGACCCAGGTTGGGGCCTGATACTGTCCTTGATGGTGATGAAGATGTTTAGGGGGAAAGACAGTGAGCTCAGCTTTGGACATGTTGTCTTTAATGTCTGTGGAACATCTCCCTCAGATTGTCCAATAAAGACTAGAGGTCAGGGGAGAGGTTAGGGCTGGATCAATGAAGCTGAGAGGTCTCTGTATTGAGATAGCCATTGAATCCATGTGAGTTGTTGAGATTGTGAAGTGAAATATAGAGACAGAAGATCAATGAGAAAGTAGTTTATGCAACAAGTCTTCAGGGAGCCCAGTGAGTTAGACAATGGAATATTAGAATAAGTAGAGAGGAGCAGGGTGGATATTACAGGTTAGAAAAAATACTGTGAACTGGGCTATGGAGGTGGAGATGGATATGGGGTGTGTGGGGACCAGCCTGATCTGTGAGATGTGTATGAGGTGGGGGAAAACGAGGAGGGGTGGACACAAGCTGAACCACAGTGTCTATGCCGTTTAATGTGTGGTTGCCTAGACTTGGAGCCAACACTACTACTTCCTAGGGTAAGGAAACTATTTTCAGGCTCAATTATCCTTCTCTTCATAGCCAACATCCTTTTCTTGTCCTTAGCATCTCCTGGCTGTGTTCCTGTCCATTATGATCTGGATCATAAAGTGGAATCCCTGGCCAGCTGCCTACAGCAGCTCCAGTCTACCTTTGTACCTCATATGCCTCATCCCCCAGCTTCCTTGTATTTCTGGTTCAGGTAAGTTTACTTTGATCTCTGCCACTGTGGCGTTCACATATCACTACCCACTGATATTTCACTTCAGTTAAACCATCAATTCAAGAAACACTTATTTAGTCCCTACTGTGCAGAGAGCCCTGTGTTTTAACACTACTGGAAGTACAAAGTTCATATAAGGCATTGTCTCTGATCTCAGGGTCATTGACCCCTTCCCAGGAACTGCCATCAATATGTGCAATATAGCATCATGGTATTGTAGAGTTGGAGGGGTTCTCATCCAGTTCAGGCCCTTACATTATTGGCTCCTGAAGGAAGGAGATGTTTTTGAATAGAAGGATCTCTCTTAATAAGGATTCAAACTTATCACTAATGTAGGAGATTGTCACTATTCATTTCAACTCAAAGAAAGATAGAACCTTTTAATATTCTTGTACCAAATATAAGGGGTCTCTCAGAGCAATATGGAAACACTTTCAAGTATTTCTGAGGATTCATCTAAACTTAAGCATTTTAAGTTTTTCTCTGTTCTACTGACATGTCATATTAAATTTTCATAATATAGGAAAATCAGAGAATTTTTTCCAACCTGGAATATCACCCACAAAAAATCCATGCTTTTGTGGCCAGCAAATATAATTAATCAGATATTACATATGTACTACATAGCAGATATTTTATAAATATATAAATGTGTGTGTATATACACCCACCCACCCACACACACACACACACACACACACTCATGAAAAGCAAGAGTTTTGATGCTGCCTGATTTGTGTAGCCTTGTTTTCTTTCTGTCTTGACCTATTTGCATGTGAACAAAAAAAAAAAGAAATCCTTGGAGTTAGTGGGATTTTGAGCCCCAGAATCTTCCATACAGATCCCATGGAGATTGTTGGGCACTCCCCAAAATGGGTTTTGGGGATAGAAGCTCACCACCAAGGAACTGATGGGAATACCAAGGAATTTTCCAACTCCAAGTGACCTCTTTCTTTGGGACCAGGAATCCTGAGCCACCATATTTAGGCAAGCAATCAACAAAAGCCATTAGAATGTTCCAAACTAAAATTGGCTCATTTTTCTTTTTTTTACTCTCTTGGTCCAGTGCTGACTGGGAATGCTTGCTTCAAAATAACCACCTGACTAGGAGATAGAAAATCCCTCACAACTTCAACGAAAGAGTTACTTATGGGTCTGTGTCCTCAAAACCCATTTTGGGGCTCTCCTCCCTTTTCTTCCTCCTCCAAATCCCAACAACTCTCCAGGACTTATTTGAAGGTCAGGACACAAAGACTTAATTTTATTACCAAGAGCCTCTTTGACTGGAACTGAAATAAATCTAGGGACAAAAAGAAGAGTTAATAGAATCAGAGTGTCCTCATTTCTGCCTCTGTTAGAAAATCTGTCAGCAACAAAAGTACTGATCATTTATGGCCAGCAGAGATCTCCCTGGTCTCCCAGTTGGACAATGTAGAGAATAAGAGTCACAAAGCTTAGAGCTGAGATGACCCTTACACATCATCTGATCCAATCCCCAACCCCCATTTTACAAGTAAGACAACTGAGACTTGGCCTGGTTGGGATTTGTTTCACATGACAGAGGAGAAGCAGAAGGTGAATCCAATTGTTCTGAGGTCCAGTCAAGAACTTCCCAGGATTCTGCTTCTCTGTGGCTTACGGGACTTCTCCGACTCTGTCTTATCCAAAGGGAAGAAGTAGTAAGTCATGTTGGAAGGGCTTTGGGGTCTGGGCAGATTTCTTTCAGGGCCCAACAAAGCACTTTTGTTTTTCTTTTTGCATTTTGGCTAGGCAATGGGGTTAAGTGACTTGCCCAGGGTCATGCAGCTAGGAAGTGTCAAGTGTCTGAGGCCAGATTTGAACTCAGGTCTTCCTGACTCCAGGGCTGGTGCTCCATCCACTGCACCACCTAGTTGCCCCCCAACAAAGCACTTTCTAAATTTTCCCTCTCTTCCCCAACAAGGGGACCAACATGTACTGGTGATCAAGGCAATCATTGGGCCTGAAGGAAAGCCATTGCTGGGGAAGGAAGAGAAAGACTGAAAAGTTTGGAGCAAAACCTCAGCCCAAGGCAGAACCAGAGCTTTTCAGAGAGATGCCACATACAAGGTGCTTAAGAAGATGGGAACCTGGATGGAGGCTTCAGCTAGAAAGATCTGCCAGGATTATAGGAGGCACAGGATCAGTAGTGTCAGGAAAATGAGTGTCTGATGCAATCTGCATCAGTAGTTCTGCCTTTTAATCCCAGCACTGACCATCTCCCACTCTTGCCTCCTCTGATGGGCAGACTTCTGAGGGTGCTGATGATCATGCTAAGACCTGTGTGTGAATGAGGTTGTGAGAATAAATACCCTCCACGGATGCAAGGGTCCCATCACTTCTGATCCAGAACCACCCAAGAAAATAGGAAAGGTTAGAATAGGAAAGGGCATAGCTACTTCTCACCTTCTGACAGAGTTCAGCTTTTTTGAGGACTCTGTACCAAAGAACTACAGGGAGATTCTCCCTAGTGACACATACAAGGAAAGGGGATACAAAGACAGAATCATGGTTTTAGAACTGGAAAAGGCCCCAGAGATCATTGAGCTCAATCCTGTTATTTTACTGAAGAAACAGAGACCCAGACAGGTCCAGTGACTTGCCCAAGGTCACACAGCTAGTCAGTAGCAGAGCTAATATTTATTTGTTTTTTAAGATTCATTAATTAATTTATTTTTAGTTTTCAACATTCACATCTGCAAGATTTTGAGTTCCAAATTTTCTCCCCATCTCCTCCCTCCCCCAATCCCAAGACAGTGTGCATTCTGAATACACTTTCCCCTAATCTGTACTCCCTTCTATCTCCCCCCCTTCTCTTATCCCCTTCCTCTTCTATTTTCCTGTAGGGCAGGATAGATTTCTATATCCCATTGCCTGTATATCTTATTTCCCAGTTGCACGTGAAAACAATTTTTTAACATTTGTTTTTAAAACTTTGGGTTCCAAATTTTCTTCTTCCCTCCCTCCCCACCCACCCTCATTGAGAAGGCAAGTAACTCAATACAGATTATATTTGTGTAGTTATGCACAGCACTTCCATAGTAGTCATGCTATGGAAAACTAACTTTATTTCCCTTCATCCTATCCCACCCCCCATTTATTGTATTCTTTCTTTTGACCAAGTCCCTCCTTAAAAGTGTTTGCTTCTGATTACCCCCTCCCCCAATCTGCCCTCCCCTGTCTCATCCCTCTGCTCTCTTATCCCCTTGCCCTCTATTTTCCTGTAGGGTAAGATAGCTTTCCATGCCCAATTAAGTGTGTATGTTATTCCCTTCTTAAGCCAAATCTGAATAAGATTAATATGCTAATATTAGTAATTAATTAATTAATAAAGATAATAAATGAGAAAAAGATTCATTCATTCCCTCTCATCTTCCCCCACTTCCCCTCTACTGTAAAAGCCTTTTCTGTTTTATGTGAGATAATTTACCCCATTCTACCTCTCCCTTTCTTATTCTCCCAGTATAATCCTCTCTCACCCCTTAATTTTATTCTCCAGATATCACCCATTCATCTTCAACTCACTCTGTGCCCTCTATCTATCAATCTATCTATACATATAATTTTTTTTCCCCTCCAACTACCCTAATACTGACAAAGGTCTCATGAGTTACAGATATCATCTTTCCATGTAGGAATGTAAACAGTTTAACCTTAATAAGTCCCTTATGATTTCTCTTTCCTGTTTACCTCTTCATGCTTCTCTTGAGTCTTGTATTTGAAAGTCAAATTTTCTATTCAGCTCTGGTCTTTTCATCAAGAATGCTTGAAAGTCCTTTATTTCACTGAATTTCAATTTTTTTCCCTTGAAGGATTATACTCAGTTTTGCTGGGTAGGTGATTCTTGGCTGTAATCCTATCTCCTTTGCCCTACAGAATATCATATTCCAAGCCCTGCAGTCCCTTCATGTAGAAGCTGCTAAATCCTGTGTTATCCTGATTGTGCTTCCATAATACTTGAATTGTTTCTTTCTGGCTGCTTGCAATATTTTCTCCTTGACCTGGGAACTTTGGAATTTGACTAAAATATTCTTAGAAGTTTTCCTTTGGGCATCTCTTTTCAGGAGGTCATTGGTAGATTCTTTCAATTTCTATTTTGCTCTCTGGTTCTAGAATATCAGGGCATTTTTCCTTGATAATTTCTTGAAAGATGATGTCTAGGCTCTTTTTTTGATCATGACTTTCAGATAGTCCAATAATTTTTAAGTGATCTCTCCTGTGTGAGGGACTGTCTGATGTTGGCAGCTGCCAGTTGGGTGCTGTGGCATGGGTAAGGTAAGATCTGGGTATTTTGGAAGTCGAGGCAGGGACTGTGGTAGGCAGAGTCGTGTGTACTGGGATGGTCTGGATACGGAGAAGCCATGAGGCAATTGGGCAGTGCTCTGTGACATAAGCTGGGTGCAAGGAAGTAGCTGAGCCTGAGCTCCTGAGGCAAGGGGCGGTGCCACGTGGGAGTGGGATGGCAGAGGACTGAGTTCCCTCTGCTTAGTCCCCTCCCTATATGCAATGTCATCCCCAGATGCCTCTTGTGATCTTCCTGACCTTGTGCAGCACTGACCCAGTCCCCTCCTGAGTCTGACTTCCTAGGTCACGTACTCTTGTCTATGCGTCAATCCCAGATGCCTCCTTCCTGTATCCAATCCTGGCCTCCTACGTCACTCCCTCCCCCTTGGTGTGCTAAACTCAGACAGCCCCTTCCGGTATCTGACCCTACAATCATTGGCTAGTAGCGGGCTGGGGAGGAGGGGCTAAGTAGGTACTTAGGAACAAGCGTGGTCAGAACACACGTGCGCTCTCCCCTGGCTCCTGCTCTGTTGCTCTGGCCTTGCTGCTTGGGCTTGCTATGATGGTTTGCTGTGTTGGCCTCTGAATAAAACTCTGGTGTTGGTGCCTTCCCATGGCTTGTCTCTGTGTGGTGATCCGGCTGAGGACCGAAGACCCGGGAATGGGTAAGACTCTGGCGGTGCACTTCTTTTAAGAGAAGTGGGTACTGGCGCACGACTGGCAGAGGGTCAGCGTGCGGCCCGTATACTCCTGGATTTATTTTCCAGGTCAGTTGTTTTTCCAATAAGATATTCCACATTGTCTTTTATTTTTTCATTCTTTTGGTTTTGTTTTACAATGTCTTGATTTCTCATAAAGTCACTAGCTTCCAATTGCTCCATTCTAATTTTTAAGGAAGTATTTTCTTCAGTAAGCTTTTGGACTTCCTTTTTCATTTGGCCAATTTTGCTTTTTAAGGCATTCTTCTCCTCATTGGCTTTTTGGATCTTTTTTGCCATTTGGGTTAGGCTATTTTTTAAGGTGTTATTTTCTTCAATATTTTTTTGGGTCTCCTTTAAGCAAGCTGTTGACTAGTTTTTCATGATTTTCTTGCATCAGTCTCATTTCTTTTCCCAGTTTTTCCTCTACTTCTCTTACTTGCTTCTCAAAATCCTTTTTGAGCTCTTCCATGGCCTGGGACTGATTCATATTTCTCTTGGAGGCTTTGGATGTAGGAGCTTTGACTTTGTTGTTTTCTTCTAGTTGTATGTTTTGATCTTCTTTGTCACTAAAGAAAGATTCTATGGTCTGACTTTTTTTGCACAGTTTGCTCATGTTCCCAGTCAATTACTTGAGTTTTCAACTCTTTGTTAAGGTAGGAGTCTGCTTCCAGTGTGGAGAATGTACTGTCCCAAGCTTCGGGGGTTTTGTGCAGATGTTTTCAGAGATACTTTTAGGGATCTATAAGTTTTCAGTTCTTCCAAGGTGGTATGATCGAGGGTGAGGTGTTTACTCTTTTCCTGGCCTGTGGTCTGGTCTTTTCTGCCTTGGAACTGTGAGGAGGATTCCCTCTCCACCACCACTACAAGCTCCACCACACCAGCATTCCTCCTTGCCCCAGGACGGCTACCCAGAACTGTGACCCAGATCCAAGCACAGGCAAAGCAAGAGAATCCTGCCTCAGCATCAGCAAAGAGATCCCTGCAATCGCCCTCTGATCAACCACTCCATTTTCCCTCAGTCTATGGGCCAGAAGCTCCGGAAGCAGCTGTTGCTCTGGGGCCACGTGGGGACTGGGGCTGGAATGGAACTTCTCTTTCATGGAGGTCACAGACTTTTCATACTGACCTTCTAAGTTGTCTTTGGCATTTGTGGGTTGAGAAGTCTGGAAACCACCACAGCTGCCCATAATTCAGTCCTCTGAGGCCTGCTCCAGGTTCGCTGAAGCCTGTTTTGCCTGCACACCCATGCTGAACTGCATTTGTCTCCTAGCCCAGAGCGATAGACCTTTGTAATCACCCATCCAGATTTTCTTGAGCTGGAAATTTGTTTTACTCTGTCTTTTTGTGGGTTCTGCTGCTCTAGAATTTGTTTAGAGCCATTTTTATAGGTACTTGGAGGGGTTTGGGGGGGATTTCAAGTGAGTCACTGCTTTTACTCTGCCATCTTGGCTCCACCTAGAGCTAATATTTAAAGTCAAATCCTTTCCTTCCAGGTCCAGTCACCCAGGATGCCATCACTACAGTAATGCCCAGGATGCTCCCCACATGTCCACAATCACACTCTTCCTCCCCCACTGAGCTACACTGCTCTGTCACACAGAGGTCCCCCACAGCTCTCTGGCCCAGCCTCCTTCTAAAACACTCAGCTGCACAGCCACAGAATGAGGGCAAGTCCAACAGTAGCCCAGAAGCCTGGTCTTCCTCTGAGTTATCTATGGGCAGCCTCAGTGGTGGGGTAGAGGCTGGTCCTTCCATAAGGTCATAGACAGGAGCTGTTGTCCTCCTGCCTCCACCCCCAACCTTTCAGCCCCCTATCAGCTGCCTTGCTTCCCTGGATATACATGGTTATAGAGAGGGAGAATGTCTCGTCTCCATCTCACAGACATATCAGTGTGGCCAGTGATTTCCCCAAAGCAGGGCAGCACCTGAGCAGGAACACAATCAGAGCCTCAGGGCCCAGGGCTGCCCTGACCCTGCTCTGGAGGCCACATTAACTCCACCACCCCAGTGTTTTCTGATTCTCTTCTGTTCTGTTCTTAGTTCTCCACAAAGGAACATTCACAGTATCTGGCCCTCTGGTCCAACCCACCCTGGCCTGGGTGGGGGAAGATGTCCTGCTGTCCTGTCACCTCTCCCCTAAGATGGATGCTCGAGAAATGACTGTGAAATGGGTCAGAGGTTCACTGGTTGTGCACATGTACCGCATGGGGAATGAGATGGAGGAAGTCCAGGCCCCTGCATTCCAAGGGAGGACAAAGATGCTGAGAGAGGACATGGCTGAGGGGAAGGTGACTGTGAGAATTCACCTGGTCCAGCTGTCTGACACCGGCCTGTACACATGCTATTTCCAGGCAGGCATCTTTTACAATGAAACCAGCTTTGACCTTCAGGTAGCAGGTAGGCCCTCCCTTGGTCATGGGTTCTCTCTCCAGCTGGAAGAGACATTCAGAACATTGACATTGGCAGAAATCTTTAGAGTGTGTAAAGTACTTTCCATACCTTGTCTCGCTGGAGTCTCACAACTACCTTGTGGATTAGTATTTCTGTAACAGTGACTGCCTGTGCCCCCACTCACTGAAGACTGGTTCTGCAATATTTCAGCCCCTCAGGCTTCTCTCAAACATTTAAGGGGGTTTGAGGTTGTTCAGCCTCTCTATCATTGACTCAAGCCCCTTGCCGCAATGATGTTCCCCCAATATTAGAGATTCTTCTATATCCTTAGTCCACTTAACACTCCGTTTAGCTATTACACAGTATACAGTAAGAGTTAATTCTACAGTGTCACCAGAACAAACATTCAAATGTCACTTTCACTGACATCTGGGAATATTGTCCTCCCCACACAGGTCACTTCAATATCTGGAGAGTTTGGAGGTGGAGTGGGTTCAGGTTCATAGCTCAGCCCAGTTTCTACAATGTATAGTTTCACCAAGTTCCAACCCCCTTGTACTCAATTCCCAGGCATTCTGGCTTTTTTGGACTTCCCTTCTGTGCTGGCAGCAACATTTGGCCTTAATTTCTCCCTGTAAGGTCACTGTGGCTTTGGTCTGGGTGGAATGGAGAATTCATTATCTGGGCCTAGAAGTGAGAAAGACAAAGAAATAGACCCCACCCACACCCTAAGCCTGTTTCTGAAGGGCCATAGGGCCTAAACTGGAGAAGGAAATAGAGTCCTTCCTTACCTATCTCAGTTCATGGTACCTGTGCTGTGGGAGAGAATGCCCAGAGCAGAGAGATGGAGTGTTTTGTTTGTGGAATAGCCAGGAGGCCTGTGTCACTGGATTAAATAATATGTGTTGGGGAGTGAGATGTAAGAAGATTGGGATGGCAGGAGGGATTGGGGTGACAAAAGAACTTTGAATCCTGAACAGAGTATTTTGAATTTGCTCTCTGGGCCAACAGTAACCCACTAGAGTTTACTGAGGAGCACAGTGACATGATCAGACCTGCATTTTAGGGAAATCTCTTCAGTGACTGGATGGAGGGTGGATTGGAATGGGGAGAGGCTTGAAGCAGGCAGACCCAGCAGCAGACTATTGCAGTAATCAAGGTATGAGATGAAGGACTGCCCTAGAGTGGTGGCAGTGTCAGAGGAGAGAAAGGGGCCTATTTGAGAGATGTTTCAATGATGAAATTGACAGACTTAGCAACTGATTGGATGTTTAGGATGAGAGAGTGAGGAATCCAGGATGACTGCTAGGTTGTGAGGCTAAGGGGCTGGAAGGATGGTGTTGTCCTCTACAATCATATCAAAGGTAGGGTGCGGGGACAGTGTAGGGGAAAAAATTAATGAGTTGTCTTTTGGACATAGTGAGTTTAAGATGTCTACTGGACATCCAGATTGAGATGTCTGAAAGATAGTTAGAGATCTGACAGTGGAAGTCGGTAGACAGACTGGGGTGGGAAAGGTAGGCTTGAGAACCATCAGCATAGAGACAGTAATTAAATCTATGGGAGCTGATGAGATAACCAAGTGAAGTCATGTAGAGGGAGAAGAAAAAAGTACAGAGGACAGAACTCCGAGAGAAACCTACACTTAGAGGCAGGATCTACATGAGGATCCAGCAATGGAGAAGTCAGATAGGTAGGAAGAACACCAGGAGGGAGACAGGTATCCTGAAAACCTCGAGGGAAGAGAGTATCAAGGAGGGGAGAGTGATTAACAGAATCAAAGCCAGCAGAGAGAAGAAGGAAAAGGAGAATTGACAAAAGCCATTGGATTTGGCAGCTAAGTGATCATTAGTAGCTTGGGGAGAGCAGTGTCAGTGGAATGATGAGGTCAGAAGCCAGATTGTAAGGGGTTAATAAGAGAGGGAGAGGACAGGAAATGGAGGCACCTGTTGCAGAAGGCCTTTTGGAGGAGTGGAGCTATAAAGGGCAGGAGAGTTATAGGGGGGTTTGGCACTAATTCATCCTATCTTACAGATGAGGAAACTGATGCCTTGCCCAGGTTCACCTCCCTAGTAAGTGTCTGAGATCAGGTTGAAACTCAAGTCTTCCTGCCTCTGGTGCCAGAGCTCAATCCACTCCGCTACCTAGTGGCCTTATGAGCAAAGAGCTGGTGATTTCAGGAGACTTTGAGTTGTCCAGTCTAGCCAGAGCCCAGAGTACCAGGAGTGGAATCAAATGCAATAGTTGGGAAGGGTAGATGGCACCAGGTTGGAGAGGGATTTGAATGCCAGGAGAAGTCTGAACTTCACTCAGAAGGAAGTAGAAAACCACTACAGATGTTTCAAGGCAGGAATGGTCACTTCTATGCATAAATAACATGAGTCTAGAGCCCAGCCCAAGTGGAAGATAGGATTGGGGGAGGGGATCTAGAGTTAGGAAGACATGTAAATCAGCCAGTCAGTCAACAAGTATTCATTAAGGACTTATGGTAGCTAGGTGCCAGAGTAGAAGGTCAGACTTGGAGTTGGGCACACAGGAGTTGAAATCCTACCAGACATTTACTTATTGTATGAGACTGTAGAAATCACTTAAACTTTTTCACCCTCAGTTTCCTCATCAGTAATATAGGAATGATAATAACAGCTAGCATTTCTGTAGCACTTGAAGGTTTACAAAGCACTTTATAAAAATTACTGCTTATTATTCTCAACCCTGTGAGGTGGGTGCTATTTTTAATCCAGCTTTACCAATGAGCACACTGATGCAGAAACAGTTTTAAGTGACTTGCCCCATTTCACACAGCTAGAAAGTATCTGAGGCTGGATTTGAACTCAGGGATTCCTGACTTGAAGTCCAGTGATCTATTTACCCACCTAGAGCCTACCTACCTCCTAAGGTTGTTAGGAGGATCAAGTGAGATAGCCTGTGGTGAGAGGAGTAATTCATTCCGATGCCTACTCTATTCTAATCAGTATTAATCAGATTCCATAGGAGTAATGATTATAAGTTCTGCATACAAGGTTTACAGAGCTGCAAGCTACAGATTGTAAGTTCACTTGCTTAATCATAGGAAGCTAACTACAGGCCCTTCACCCTTGTTTTTCCTTGTTATGGTGCCCAAGCCCAGCATGGTGGAGGTGACTCAAATACATGGAAAATCCCCCAACTTATTTTTGTACCTCCGGACCACTCTCTCTTGTCCAATATGAGCAGGTGACCATCTTATGACCATTTTATGTGCGCTTACTCAGTGGAGATAGTACAGCTTCGCCCAACCTGGGACCCCCTCTGCTTACATAACATTTCTCGCTGATGCATCATTTTTCAGCCCTCACAGCAAGGTCTATCAACCAATGGGATTCAGTATTTTGTGTAGCCCCTTTAGAGTATTCCAATCTGGTATCAAGCTTTATTAAAATGAAACTCTGGAAGAAGGAGGCATCTCAGATCATGAGGAAGATCTGAGGTCCACTTCATTAGGGGGCACCATGGACTCTGCAATAACATGCCATTGGCTCAGAGCTCTGTCTCAATCTCTTTTATTGTAGATTGGACAATTATAATCCCTGCAGTGGAAAGTGCTTTACAAACCTTGAAGCCTATGTAAATACTGCTATCATTATTATTACTGGCATCATTATTATTATTACCATCATAAAGAGCTTAGCATAGTTCCTGACACATAGTAGATGCTACAGGAATGTTAGGGATTCTTATTATTACATGTGGCAGGCTTCATGGTGAGCTTTGGGGATATAAAGCAAAGCCAAAACATAGGCACTGTCCTCAGGGAGATCACATTGGAATGGTAGAAACAACCTGCAAATAGCTGCCTATGTCAGATACAACAAAGGCCAATAGAGGCATCTTTAGGGAAACTAGCAGCAGGTGTGAGAACCAGGAGACCCAGAATTGGCCTCCTAAAGAAGGAAGAATTGAGCTGCAGTGCCAGGGAGCCACTGAAGTTTCTTGAGCAGGGAGGAACATAGTCATACCTATGCTTTAGGAAAAACACTTTGAGAGGTGAGTGGCTTCAAGAAGCCATGGCATGTGTAGTGGCCACACCTCACAGACAGATAAAACTATGTTGAGAGTAACAGACCCTTCTGTTAGTTAGGTGGGGTGTCTACCCCAAGAATGTAAAGACTTTCCCCAGTGGAACGGCTGGATGAGAACAATTTATTCCAAAGGCCACGAAGGTAGCTAAAGCAGGCACAGTGGAGTGCTTAGAACTTGGTTAGGCATTGAAGATGTCAAGGTCATCCACTACATCCTGAGCTACCACCAGTTGTCTTGACTTTTGTCTTGCCACTGAACTCTGATGACTCTGGAAGAGAGAATGAGCCTGATGATTTTGAGCAACTCTGCCTCATTTAAATCCTATTTATGCTCAAGTCAAAAGACATCAATGATACCATTTTAACATTTTTGCCTACCTCATAAAGTCCTGTGGTGACAGACAAGTGATGGAGCAGCAGTTGTGGATACACTGGGAGCTGTAGTTGCATGCCTGCTCACAGGTGGCTTAGGCCATATGGTGGTCTTCTCACTGGCTGAAGCAACAGTGGGATTCAGCCTCCCCCTGGGTATTTGAGTAGCCTTTTTTAAGGACTGCATGGCTCACCTCCTGGCACGAAGAAGGGGCGAAGAAAGGTGCCTTAAAAATTGTCTGCTTCACTCAACCCTAGTCTGCTTACTGAGGTAGGCAGGGATACTATGTTGCAGTTGAAACACAAAAAATGTACAAATACTTTTGTGAAGATGATTCCACTCACCATTGCTACATGTAACATGCACACACTTATGGACAACATGAAATCCATTAGTACGGGAAGATAAACAGCTTTTGTTGTGAGAGAACTCAGCAGGTATTTCATCCATTTAGGAGCCCTGAGTAAAACAAGGCTGAAAAATGAAAGCCAGCTTACCAAAGTTGAAGCTGGATAGATCCACATTTTTTTTAGAGTGGCTATAGTAATGGGTGGTACTGTGAAGCTGATGTAGGTTTTACACTCAAAATTAATCTAGTTAACAAGCTTGTATGTTTACCAAAACTAGTGAATAATAGACTCATGACAATGCAATTGCTATTTATAGGAAAGCACCATGCCATCATCATTGGTGACTATCCTTCCACCATGATGAACTTTGATGAAGTCAAAGAAAAATTTTATATTCATCAAGGTCAAAAATGGCATCCAGCTCACCTACTGCACTGACAGTAAATTATTTAACTTGAAAAGGCTACGGGTCAAAACTAAAGGGGAGGAAGAGTTGATGCATGGCTTTTTGTTTGTAGATGATCATGTTTGCCATGCAGGCCCTGAAGCTGAGATGCTGCTTGTGCAAATTTTGGCCTGACAATTAACACCAAGAAAAGAGATGTTCTCCATCAGCCAGCACCACACCGTCCATACATGGAACCATTGGTTACAACAAATGGAGAAATTGTGAATGCTGTGGATACTTCCTTTGGCAGTATACGTTTACAGGGATGTCCATATAGCTGATGAGACTGATGCACACATTGCCAGAGCTAGCTCAGGGTTTAGGAGGCTCCAAAGGAAAGTGTTGGAGAGAAGAGGTATTAGATTGCCTACCAACTGAAAGTCTACAGAACTGTTGTGCTGACCTCATTGTTGTGTGCCTATGAAACCTGGACAGTTTACCAGAGCCATGCCAGAACACTAAATCATTTCTATTTGAATTGTCTTAGAAAGATTCTGAAGATCACCTGGCAAGATAAGGTATCAGATACTCAGGTCCTTTCTCCAGCTGAACTACCAAGCATTCAAACTCTATTTCCCAGAATACAACTCTAATAAGCTGGCCACACTGTTGGAATGCCAAACATACATTTGCCAAGAAGAACTCACACAAGGTAAGTGCTTACATGGAGATCAGAAGAAGCAATAGGACACTCTCAAAGTCTCTCTGAGGAACTTTAGAATTGATTGTGAGATGATGGACACAGTGGCACAGGACTGCCCAGCATGGTATGCCCACCTCAAAGAAGATGCTGTACTCTATGAGCAAAGCCGAATTGCAGAAACTCAAAAGAAACATGAGATGTGCAAATTTAGAAACATCCACACACCAAATGTTCATATGCACTATTTGTGCCTGATCTGAGCTACAGTCTTCTGAGCTCATATTGGTCTGATCTGCCATGATTCAACACACTGTACCTTGAATACAACACGATGACATCATTTTTGTCCTCTTTGAGATTGAAGGACAACGACTCACCCAGTACAAATACAAAAGTGAGACAGTCCCTGCCCTCAAGGTACTTACTTTCCAACAGGATAGACAATAGGAAAAGAAGAGAGATGACCATGGAAGGGAGTTGTGATTTGGGTAGTGGAACAGTAGGGTAGTCCATTGACACACTTTTCCCAGACACAGTGGTTACTGTTGTTTCCATTACAGTGCTCAGAGAAAGATGCAGAATGGCAAGAAGAAGAATGGGAGTGAGGATGGGGGGGATGATGCACCCACAACATGAGGGTGGAAAATGATCAAGAGAAGGAGTCTGAAAGAGGTGGAAGGACTTGCCTGCAGTCACACAGAAAGGTGATGGCAGAGCCAGGTCCAGAAGCCAAGTCTCTCAGCTCTCATAGAGTCTCTGTTCATTACAGTTCTGAGAGTATCCTTTTAAAGTCTAGATATTTCTGGGAGAGACTAGCATGTTAAGCCATTCTCTGCCATAACACTTTAGCAAGAATGAGTGTATCAGACCCTTCCCAATGCTAGCCCAGGGAGATCCAAGACACAAGGACACCAGATCTAGACTCCCCAGTTCCCCAATGAACAGAACTCCTCAAAGACACCTCACTTGACTCTCTGGCCCACCCTCCTACCTCAGCTACACAGCCAATAGAGTATAAGGAGCAAGCAAACACCAGCCCAGAAGCCTGAGCTCCCTCTGCACTTGTAAGTTACCTATGAGCAGCTGCAGAACAGAGGCTAATGCAACACCTCCATTAAGGCCATTGATGGTAGCTGTGGCTTTCCTGTCCCCAAGCCTAACCCTCCAGCATCCAAAAAGCTTCCTCTCTTTCCCACTACGCAAAGTAGTCAAGAAAGAGAATGTCTTTCTATAAGGGGATCATTGGAAAGAAAGGGATTTGGCCCACAGCAGAGCAGCAGCTGATCCAGAAGTCAGACCTTCATCTGCTGCAGCCTCCCCCAGCCACACAAACAAATACTCTTAATCCAGGCCCTACACTGTCCTCTAATTTTCTTCTGTTTTGTCCCTAGAACGCCAGAAGCTACCATTGTCAGTGGCTGGCCCCGCTCAGCTCATTCAGGCCAAGGAAGGGGAAGATGTCACACTCTCCTGTGACATCTCCCCCACGATGGATGCTCGGGACATGACTGTGAACTGGTTCAGAAACCAGACCCTTGTGTACAGGTACCCAAACGGGGAGAACCTGGAGGAATCCCAGGGCACTGAGCTCCAGGGAAGGACAGAGCTGCTGAAACATGACATGGCTGAGGGGAAGGTGACCTTGAGGATCCAGCAGGTCCAGGTCTCTGACTCTGGTCCGTACACATGCCAGATGCAGTCACCTACCTATCACAGTGAAGCCCACATTGAACTGCAGATAGCAGGTAGGTGCTGTGCGGTGTATGGGTGTCTTCTGAATCTCAGATTGTTAGAGTTGGGAGAGATTTTAAAGAACATTGAGTCCAAAGCCCCTCATTTAACAAAGAGGAAAATGGGACACAGAGAGGGGAGGGACTTTGATCATACAATTTGGAAATGTCTGGGCTCAGGATCAGACTCGGCTCTTTTCACCCCTCCTCTGGTCATTTTCTTCTCCTTGACATTTCCCTTGGGTCCTGCAGGTGGGAAAGGACAAGCTCACTTTGGGAAGTGAACCTTGACTCCTGGCTTCAATCCTCTTTCCTCCCTTTGATCCTTCAGGTTTGGTGTTTTCCACTAAAAGATGATGCAGGCCTCCCCTCTGTCCTGGAGCTCAAAAATGGGGATGATTTTATTGTCTCTTTCAGAGACATCAGGCTTCACCTGGCCTTCAAAAGCCAAACATTGAGTGGGGTACTAAGGCTCTGACGCCTTCTTGACTGTCATCTGATAATTTCCATCTACACTGGCCTAGTAACAAATGTTGACTAGACACCTTCTCTGTGCCCAACTTCGTGCTAAGTGAGGCTGTAGAGAAGGGGAAAAAATCCGGCCTCCTTCCTTGATGGAACAGGAGAAATATGATGCTTAACCTGCTTTAAAAAATAATGGCAGAGTGAAAGGGAGTGTGGCAGAGTGGATAGACTGCTGGACTTGGAGTTAGGAGGAACTGAGTCCAAATACTACCTCTGATTCTTATTTGCTGTGTGACTGCAGGCAAGTCACTGAAACTCTCTGTGCCAACTTAATTATAGCTGTGCCCACATAGCTGTTTGCACACTGACAAAATCATAGTCCCTTTCTGAATTGATGCATAAATCTAGGTCCTGATTAGTATAAATTTAATACATTTCAATTCATACTATTTGAATTCATAATTATGTGAAATATGGTCATTAGTTCCAACCCAATGGAAATATGCAGTAGGATTTCAAATAATGCAACCACTTCAGGAGATTCCTTCATCAAACTAATTTGGACTTCCCTCTATAATGGAGTGATAGATCACTTGAGACATAGCTTAGTTCAATTCAAAAAACTTCTATTTTCGTGCAATTTAATTTAACATAGTTTTTTTTTTATATATTCATTTCAATCCTGTGTAATTTAGTTCAGTCCAGTAACTACTGTGTACAGGTCCCTATACTTCTGTGGAGTAGGTAGAAAATTTAGATAAGATAGGTCTCCCCTGCCCTCAAGTTGCCCAGCTTAGGAATCAGGTAGGTTAGGATGAGGAAGCAAGAGAAATAACTGGAATATACAGTAACACAAGATAAGTGCATGAGAAGGGTGCAAAATGAAATGAGATGTGAAGAGTGAAGTGACCCAGTAATCAGGGAAGAGGTGGTGGTGATCAAATTAAAGGAAGGGAAGGAGGAAGGGCATTCCCAGCACTAGGAAATGCCTGAGCAAAGGCATGGCAGCAGGAAAAGCAGGGCATTGTTAGGGCACAAGGTCTGCTCCAGTCTGACCTAAGCACAGAGCCCATGGAGGAAGAAGGGATAAGGTTAGAATGGCAGGATGCTGCCAGACTGGGGAGGCTTACTCTAGTAGAAGGCCAAGCTAAGCAGGGTGAGCTCCACAGCAAAGAACCCTTGTAGATTTTGAAGGGCAGGAATGGCCTAGGCAGGGCCATGTGCAGGGCAGATGGGCCTGGCAGCTGATGGAAGAGTGGAGGTAGGGAAACATGTATGGAAACTAATAGAAGACTCCAGGCAGGGTGTAAGCAGGATGTGTACCAGGGTAGTCCCAATGAAAAAGAGAGGAAGGAAAGGCTGGCAAAGCTGTTCTGGAAGCAACATGGAGAAGAATTGGCAGTGGTATTGATTTTTGAGGTGAGGGAGACAGTGGGAATGAGACATTCCTCAAACAAAGGGATTCCCCTTTGGAATACTCCTTTGGGTATATATTGTGGTGCCTCTGATTTTAAAATTCTAAAATCAGAAGGAGGGACTGTTTTAAGAAGGACAAATATGACCTCAGCATGTGACATGGAGAGTTTGGGATGCTGAAAAGGCATCTAGATGGGGGTGTTCTGAGGTTAGGTAGAGAAGGTCTTGAGCACAGAAGAAAGGTCAGGGATGGAGATTTAGGAATGAAAGTCATGCAATTTGAGTTGTTTGTTAAAGACTTTTAGTTAATTAAAGGTACTACAATCTTTGAGAGAAAAGAGGATTAAAAACAGAACCTTGACCAGCCTTGGGCCCCCTACCCCCAAACTGGTTGAGATAAAGAGCCAGTGAAGGAGAAAGAGGAGTCCACAGAGAAGTAGGAGGAAGACCAGGAGAGGGTCTTTTCTCTGAAGTCAGTGGAAGAGAGAACCATAAATGTCCCAGAAGGGCTTGAGGGGAGGCCAACAATATCAGAGAGGTCACAGACAATGAAGACTCAAAGAAGTCCAGGGGATTTCTTTATCAGGAAGCCATGGATGACATTGGAGGAAACATTTCAATAGAATGGTGTAAGGTCTGGAATTCCCCTGGCTTGGAGAACCCTGTACTTCCCCCACATCTGTGGGGTATTCTTTTTAATACCAAAGTTAAGTGTCTTCATATTAATTATAGGCAGTGATTTAATCAATCATTATGAATACTTACAAACAGGTGCAATCTGGGGTGGCTACCAGACGGTTTTGTGGATCCCTGCTCAAGAACCCCAAAACCCCCATGGTAATTACTGAAAACAAAGGCAGGAGGAGCTAGAGAGTGCATCAGCACTGATTGGTGGATATTTTTGGTTTTCTGCTTAGTAAGGAGCTTGGGAGTCAAGCCAATGTTATGCCCAAAAGTAAGTTTGTGTATTGATCCTGTCCTGGTCACAGTTTTCTTGTTTTGGCTTTCAGAGGTCATAGTGTCTTAAGTTTTGACTTAGTGTCAAAGTTATGATTTAGTATCTAAGTTACAATTTGTAAATAGGTCACCATGTTTGGGCTTCCACCTTTCACAGGGTTCAAGTTTTTATGGCTTTTCACTTATTAATGCATTTTAGGGCTTTCCCCCAATACTAACCTTGCAAATGATGGGGGAGAGAAATCCAAACTGAAAGGGACAGAAGAGAAAGTGTGGTATGAAACATGAGAGACTTTTAAGGGGCAGGCAACTTTCCCCCCAATTTTAGGAGTGAAGGGATAGTTACTAGAGAGGGGGGTAAAACTTCATTGGAAGCCTTAGAACTGGGGAGACCTGACCATAGCCACTGGAAAAGGAGACACTGAAGACATGTGAGATAGGGGATGATTATGCAGCATGGTCCTGGGGAGGGAAGGAGAAGAGGGGACAGGATCAGTGGCACAGGGAGAGGAATCAGCTTTAATAAGCAGGGAGGCCTCTACTTCTGTGGCCAGAGGAAGAGAAGAGAGGGAGTGAGGATGAAGGAAGGGGAGGGAGAGGCCTCATACTCAGGCTGACACTGGGCCTGTCTCACCAGGACTCAACTTCCCCATGGAACCTCAGAGCTGGAAGGGAGCTCAGAGACCACCATGTCCAGCCAGTACCTGAAGGGAAATCCCTGAAATGCCTCAAACACATGGTCATCCAGCCCCTGGCTGAAGACCTTCAGTAGAAGGAGGCCTTGGCCCCTTCTGAGGGAGCCCATCCCACCTGGGGCAGCTCTCCTGGGCAGGAAGGTGAAACAGGCCTCCCAATCATCTCTAGCAGTTATTCCCAATCAGCCTCTGGGGCCAAAGGGAAGAAATCAGGCCCCTTCTCCAGGACACTCATTCATCTGGTAGAAGTCAGAGATGGGGTCTCTAAGCAGTGAAAGGTTTGCCTAGCTGTACCCCCAAGCAGACCTTAGAGTCATCTGGTTCACAAACCGATTTAAAGGTGTTAAGTTCACTTCCCCAACTAAATGGTGAGCTCCTTTTGGGCAGGGCCTAAATTGTTTGACTTCTCTCCCCTGCTCTTTCTCTGCCCCAAGGGCCTAGGACTGGTCTGGACAGGCCCATAGAAGATTCTCAACAGGGACCCCTGGCCTTGAAAGAAAACTTTGTTCTGAAACATTTTAGAATGGGTCCAGAGACAGGGAGGGAGAACTTCTGGACCATGGAACAGGTTTAGTCCATTATCCAACCTCAAGAGAATGTCCCTCTGTCCACAGTTTCAGCTCGGAGGATAATTAGCCTCCTGAAAAGCTGCCCTTCTATAGAACACAGTAGTTAAAATCTGAGGTTCCAGCTAGCGGAGACCTTATTCGTCATTCAATTCAAAGCTCTTATTTCACATTTGGGAAACTGAGGCTAGCAAAGGGACTTATTTATACTAACTCCCTGATAAGTGCCAGTGATGGGATTGGGTCCTAATATCCCTACTCCAAGTCCGTCTTCTTCTTTTGTTTAAAAGGAGGGTCTCCAGTTTCTCCTTTCACAAATCTGTGTTGCACAAGCTGCCAGATTCATCTCCCTAAAACATAGCTGCAGTCATGTCACTTCAACTGCTCAAGAAACTTCCACGGCTCCCTATTGCAGAGTACTCCACAATCTGGCCCCACCATCACTGTCCAACGATGTGGTTCCTTCCAATATTCTATTGCCCATGTTACTGATGAGGAAATTGGAGCACTGGACTCCTGGGATTAGAGGAGATGGAAGGTTACTGCAAGAAGGGAGAGATGCTGATAGACTCTTTTGGCATTGAAGAATGTCGTCTTTGGAAGGGACCTTAGAGTTTTTATATAGAGGCCTCCTCCTCTGTTTGCTGAGGAGGAGACAAACCCGGTGACCTGTGCACTTAGCCATTAAGGACAGAAATGCAATTTGAAACCAGATGTTCTGATTTTCCAAGTCTGGGGCAATTTCTTCTCTCCTGTATCAACCTGCTGCCCTAACCCCCTTTTATAGGTGATCAAACCAAGGCCCAGAGAATGCAATGGACTAATGTGACAGTTTAGTGGAAGGTTGATCCCAGGGCTGCTGGAGTCCAGGCTGGTCAGAGAGAATTTCTCAATGGGGATGTAAGAACCAAACCCAGAATGAACTTCAGAAGAGAGTAGCACCTGTGGTATCAGGAGACCTGGCCTGGGTCTCAGGAGACCTGGAGTCTGGTCCTGTCTCTGTCATTACCTCAGTGGACCCTCCAGGACAAGTCTCTTCCCCTCTCTGCTCTGTAGTCTTCTGTCTAATGGTGGGGTTGGACTAGATGCGATCTAAGGTCCCATCACCCTATTAAAGGCTATGAATCTATAAGGACACAGCTGTGAGGGGGTGGGAAGAGGGAGTCAGAGAACCCAGGTTTCTGTCCTGGCTCTGTGACTTACAAAGTGAAGGAAGGAGGAACACACTCTCTTTTATTTTCCTCTCTGTAAACTGAGGCAGCTGGGCTTGATTCTTTCTAAGCTTTCTTCCAGTTCTTCCATTCACTCCTCTGAGGAGGGGGAAGCTTGGTTTGGGGGGTTGTTTAGAGGCTGGTGGGCGGGGGGGGGCGGGGAAGACTGCATCATCTGTGCACAAAGCAGTGTCCCTGCCCAGGATTTCCTGAATCCTGATGCCCTCTATGCTCCCACCCCTAACCTGGGCCACAGGGATCAGGGTCTGGGGTTTCCCTTATCTAATTTCCACAATAATGGAGTTTGGGGATCTGTTTTCAGAGTGTCTCCCCACATCTCAGAAGACACTTCCTATAATGATTGCTGCCGTAGTCCTGGTGGTCTTCACTGGTTCCCTCATGGTGACTTGTTTCTTCTGCAAAACAAAATTCCAGAGGTAAGAGGAGGCCCCTGCCCTTTGGCCTTTAATCCTTCCATTACTCACTGGACCCTGTGATTATTGCTGTGAGAGGGATCTGAGGATCCCCTGATTTGCTGGCCCAAGGCGCCTCTCTTGGATCTGAACATATGGTCTGGCCCTGGGCTCAGGGACCTGAGCTTTGCTGGGATGACAGAGAAATTCCTCAGAGGTCCCTGTGCTAGGTGGGTTGTGTCAAAGGTGATCATCCACTGAGAGTCAGGAGGATGGATTCTTGGGGAGAAACCTCTTAGCCATGTTTTCACCTCAGCCTAATCCTCCCCACACTCCCACCTAGGAACTGGTTTCTGGCTTACTTTCTAGGTCTAGGTGGAGAGATGTGGATTGCTAGGACTGTCCTTTTCCAGGTACCCTGTTCCCAGAACTCTTTCCTTCAGTGCCTGAATGTGGATCTGCTCCTAGGAACTGGCCCCAGTCAACGTCCTAGCCTGCTCTCTCTTAGTACCTTGGTCATTACCCCGACACCCTGTCTCCATGCCCAATCCCTTCCCCACACCTATGCACCCAAAGGCTGACTCAAGGAATTAAGTAATTTTGACTTGAAGAAGTAATTTGAATCAATGATGTCTAGGCAGTGGTTGAACTTTCCCTCATCTGAGTCTCACAGATCTACTTTTTTTTTTATAATATTTTATTTTTTCTGAGTTACATGTAAAAACAATTTTTAACATTTATTTTTTAAAATTTTGAGTTCCAAATTCTCTCCCTCCCTCTCCTCTGCCCTTGGTTAGACAGTATGCAATTTAACATAGGGTATGCATGTATAATCATGCAAAATGAATTTCCATATTAGTCATGTTGTGAAAGAAAACACCATGAGAGAAACAAAGAAAATTGAAAGAAAAAGTATGCTTTGATCTGCATTCAGACTCCATCAGTTTTTTCTCTGGATATGGATAGCATTTTCCATCATGAGTCTTTTGTAATTGTCTTGGATCGTTGTATTGCTAAGAAGAGCTAAGTCTTTTTCACTCACTTACCTGCTTACTGAAGCAGCCTGGTCCCAGGTGCCAGCTCCTCTCCCCAGGCTCCTGTCAGCCTTGCTCCCTGTCCCTGCATCTAGCTCCTCTGTCCTGAATGAGGCTGCCTCTTCCTGAGCTCATGCCCCTGGTAAACTGAGGCCCTGAGACTGAGGGGGCATTACTGGGGCTTCCCCCAAGAGTCATATCCTGAAGGCAGCAGGCACCTACTTGGAACCCAAGTAGGTCCCCCAGGTTTCCCTGATTTGTCACTCATTGCCAGAGCCTACGTCCCTTCAGCTGGCAGGCATTCTATCCCACCTTCTGTCAGGAAGATTTTTATTTGTCCAGTTAATTTGGTTTTTCAATTTAATTCAAATTTGTTTTAGAAAACAACTTTTTCAATTTTAAAATGTTTCTTTAACATTTTATTAGTTTATATCACTTATTTTTATCTTCTCTCTAATTTGGTTCTTATGGACCCTTTTCCATTTTTATTTTTACTCATCTTGGCTGTGTGACCCTGGGCTAGTCACTTACCTTCCAGTGTTCTCTAAGAATAGGGTTACCAGAAAAAGCATAGACCAGCATTGCTAACTAAAATTCCTTAATCCAGAATTCTCTAGACTAACGAAATCCGAAGTCCTACCGTTAAGGAAATCAGTTATATTTACTTTTAAAATTTTCCATGATTTAAAAAATAATTTATATTAAACAGTTGTGTTTTATTTACAAAGGTATTACATTTACCTTATCAAATTATTAATAACCCTTATAAAACAATTGATTTTGTTTCATTGACAGCAGAGGTGTGAGCAGGGTTTCTGGCCAAAACAGGAACAATTGCTTTGGTGTGTTTTAATACCGTCCTTTTTTTTTTTTCTCCCCTGAGTTTTGCCTATTTAATCTGGCCAAAGGCCCAAATATAGAACTTTTTTGTATCTTATGTTTGTTACTGGTTGGAAGAAATAACAAACTGTATGGGATACCAATGGTGAACAATAAATACTTTTGATCAATGTTCAACCCTGTTATCACCCTGGGGAACCACTAGTCATGAGCCTTATTAAGCCATACCTCATAGATTTCCTCAGAGTTCACTCTGGGTTGGAGGCAGAGTCAGAGAGAAAAATTCTTTGGTAACCATCCTTCTCACCCCATGTGTTCATGTGTTCAAGACCCCTATGAGTCTTGGACACAGTTCCTTGGTGGGTACCCCTGGATCATAAGTCACATATGATAATAATGCCTCTCATTTCTACAGGGTATTAAGGTGTAGAGAATTCCACTCCCAACCTCACTCTCCAACAACCTTGTAAGATACAAAAGGGAAGTATTTTTATGGCCATCGTACAGATGAAGAAAATAAAGCTTAAGGAAAATTCAATAATTTAGTTTGCAGACCTTGCCGGCTTCCAGAAAGGGGTCAGACTGTCCAGTTGCACACACCTACTCTAGCCAAGACTTGAAATTCACCCCAGACCAAATAATGATTAAGAAAGCCAATGATAAAGTGGTGTAAGTAACTTGTTCCTTCTTAAAATTGCACAAAACATCAGCCAGAATCCAAAGGGCAGTAACATAGAGGGACGTCGTTAAAGCCAGCGCCTACACAGGTAGACATCAACAGTCATGGAACAGAAACCTGTGTGTTAACTGTGAAGTCTCTGTGTTTGGAGGTCACAAGGATAGAGGGCCCCCTGAGAAAAGCCCAGGGTGGTCAGAAAGGCCCAGGAGGAAGACTCTGGATTCCTTGAGTCATGGCTGTGACCAGGGCAGCAGGAAAATGTTCATTACTGGACATCACAGGCCCCGAGGGGCTCAGAGGATCCCAGCCCTCTGTCCTGAGATGCCCAGACAGTCATGAAGATCCAGCACTCAACTTCAAAGATTCAAGAGTGGAATGCGGTTCAGGAATCTAGAGGACCAACAGTAAAATTGGATCATTATCTACCAGAGTTCCCTCATTCCCTAACCTCCCAGCATTGGTTAGGAAAAGAGCGTACAAGGACTTGATTGACCCCAGGGTGGGGCAAGGCTCAACCTTGACTCAGCCTCCTGGTGGGTTCTGAATATGTTAATGTGACTTCCTGTTCAGTTAAGGGCATTAAAAAGTCCCCATAAAAAGTGAGATCAGGACCCTTCCCACTTGTAGAAGTCTCCAGACTATGAGTTAACACTTACTGCCCACCCATCTTACCAAAAGTTTCCATGGAGACAATATCAGAAGGGATCAGGGTGAGGATATCTAGGGAAGTTAGGTACCTCTATCCTTGATGCATCTCTTTGCTATGTTAACTCTAAGTCAACCTACTTGGGAAATTGTTCAACAACTTCCAAGTGCTACATTTTATTCCAACATCAAATCTAAACTAACAGGGTGCTTGTTTCTGGACCCCCTTTAACATTGGTATGGTCAATAATTGAAATGAAATGACATGGCTCCATGGCCCATATCGTGGTTTAGCTGTAAGAAGGCCAGTGTGAATACAGAGGGTGGGGTAATCAGAGGATTGCAAGACATGGCACTATGGAACTGAAGGCAAGGACCCACTCTGGTCCTTTATGGGGACTCCTCTAAATGGAACAGGGAGAAGCACCCACTCATACAGAGTGATTAGCTCCGTGGTGCTGGAGATGCATGGAGGTGCTGCGAGAGAGAGAAAAGAAAACACCATGTTCTAGAATTCTCTTGCCATTGTTGGCCATCCTGAAGAAGTTGGACTGCCAACATAGTATTGTTTGTCCTTCATTCTTGAAAAAGGCTATGGCATCAGGGAGGTGATGCCATGACATGCAGATGAATTGGATTTAAGTGAGGGAGGACTGTGTGAAGTCACCAGCCTCACTTTCTCCTCTGAAGACATCTGAGTCCAATGGCAAGATACAGATCAGGATGACTAGAGATGGCCCTGGATGCAATGGGAGACCTTGGCCTTTTTAAGCTAAGATCTTTCCCAGGTCTCAGTTTGACAGAGGCAACACCTATTCAGTGATTAAATGCCAGCATAATAAGATTGAAAGTGAACTGTCCTAGTGATGGGGTTGGGATCTGGGCCCCAGAAAGGAAAATCCCTGGACTTTCCCACATGGCCAAATCTCTGGTGTTTGCCTGAGGCTATAATCCCAACAACTGGTCTTTCACTGTGGCTACACCCAATCTCCCCTCCATTGTCTTACTTTCCTATGGCCCCTGGCCATTTCCCACATTTATTCTAATCCTAGCTAGGCTCCATTGTCCAGGTCCCAGGAGTTCTGTTCACCCCAGTTTACTGGCCACTCCCATCCAGATCTCCTTAGATCCCTCCTCCAGGCACCCCAAACTGCTTGGCCACTCCTAGATCCCTCCCACAGTCTTTCTATATATAAGGTCTCTCTTGTCTCCATTAAGATGCTTAGATTCTTATAATCTAGCCAATAGCTCACTAATGTTCAGACTCCTTAAGAGTGTGCCCAATATGATAGATATTCTAATAAACCTTGTCTTTGACTGAAAGAAGGCTTGGGTTGAATTCTTTCTGGCAGGACCCGCGTGTTGTGATTTTGGGGTCCCAGCACCCCTGAACCCCTAAACCACATCACTAGCACATTCAACAACTAGAGGCAGAGCTCTTGGCTTTTAAGTGCCTTGTAATGAATACCCAGGGACAACTAAAAGTGCTGTTGGCAGCACAACTGAAGGGATCTCCTCCTCTAGGGGTGGGAACCAACAGAGTTCTGCTACAGTTTGCATGGTCTCTGATCCAGAGGTGTGAGGGGATTATAATGGCCTAATCTGCAAGCAAAACCACTGAGGCAGAGCTCTGAGCCAATGGCACTTTATTAAAGGGTCCATGATACCCTCTAACGAAGTGGACTCCAGATCTTCCTCATAATCTGAGAGGCCCCTGGTCCGCAAGACCTTGTTTTATGGAGTTTGATACCCAAATATGCAAAAGAGACATGGTAAAGGACAAAACCTCATTGGTTGATAGACATTGCTTTTGTATTTATTTTTATTTTAAGGCAATTGGGGTTAAGTCACACAGCTAGTAAGTATCAAGTGTTTGGTCTGAGGCCGGGTTTGAAATCAGGTCCTCCTGACTTCAGGGCCGGTTTTCTATCCACTGCACCACTGAGCTGCCCCTAGACATTGCTTTTGAAAGCCAAAAATGACATCAGTAGGGGTATCACATGTTGGGCAACTCCATTGACTAAGTGGTCATACGATGGTCACTTCCTCATGTTGGACAAAAGAGTGGTCCAGAGACACAAAAATAAATTGGGGGACTTTCCTACCCATGCTGGGTTTGGACATGGAATTTGAACAACATAGTATGGAGTTATGTTTGTCAGCATTTTTGTGGTTGTGCAGGTGAGGCTCATAACTTGGTAAACAAGTAGCGAACATCACATTAAAGTTTGAGGCCCATTATAAAGGCCTACTATAAGAACCTATATTATCTAATTATGCTATATGATTTATGTAAAATATCAAGCTGATTAATACTGATTGGAATAGAGTAGGGGTCCAAATGAATTGTTTCTAACAAGTGCGGGCTCTGCTCTGTCCTGCAGAAATAAGTTATGAGGCAGGAGAAGGAGAGCAGAAGGGAGGAAGGGAATGGGGAGTGCTCCCTTGTGGTTGAAACAAATGCTGGAGACTCAGTAGGAGAATTTCCTCTTCTGAGGGAGCAGGATGGATGGTGGATGACCCTTCACTACCAAGGTCTGAGGATGTCATAGAAGTTCCAACAGAAATCTGATGAGGCCCTGGAGCCTTGGGCCTGAGGGTGTGGTCTAATGGAACCAAAGCTGAGACATCTGATGAGGTTCCCAGGGGAGCTCTCTGAGGATGTTATGTTACAGGGTCAGTTGAACCAATGATGGGGATCCTGATGGGGATCACACTTTGTCCCTTTAGGTGGCTGAGATGAGGAGTTATTGACTCTGTCCCCAGAAAGCTGAATTCTCACTGCGGCCTGCTCCCAGATGGGGATCTGCAAGGGAGGAAGTTGCTAAAGGAAATGGGCTTGCTAGATTGGGTCTATGCTCCCTCATGGTCTGCCCCATCCTGTGCCCAGCCTGGGGGCAAGGGAGCTGGGAATGAGATTCCACCTTCTGGGTGGAGCCCATCAGAATGACTGCAGACTTTAGCTAGAGGTCTCTCCCCAACACACTACTATACATGTGCAGCCTGATTATCTGGTGAAATCAGAACAAGAGGTTGGGACAGCTGTGATTTGGGAGGGGAGAAAGAACAAACCTATTGTCATTTCAAGAGGTACTCTGAGAATGGAAGGAGAAGTCACAGAACCTGCTGAGTGGGCAAAAGGCAGTAATACCTTCTTCTGGGGGAAGCTTTGGCTGTGGCTCCTGAAGCATGGGGTTGATAAGAAAGCATTGATGTCCCACCTATGGGAGTGCCAGAAAGCTAGACATCAGAGCAGTAGGGGCCCTTCATCCCCACTCAAGCCCAACGCATCCTCTAAAGTCCCTGCCCTGTTTGATCATTCAGTAGAGATTGTAGAGAAAAGATCAAGGAGGAAAGGAATATCCTGGGCTCTTGGAGCCCCTTTAGAAACCTCTGTGAAGTATATTGTGAGAAGGTCAAATGGAAACCTTTAGAGTAGCCTGAACCAAGCCATGGAGTTAGCACCAAATAATAGTGGGTCCCCAGCAGGGTTGAAGGATATTTCTTCTCTAGTGATGGAGATGAAAGAAGCTAGAGTATTTTGTCATACTAGCTCTCCTTGCTAAAGCCCTGTGCTACTTATGAGGAAGACAGATGACATCTAGAAACTTCCTGTGAACTACAAGGAGCTGAACAAAGCTGACTATAATTACTCTTGTTCCTGATAGGTAACTCTATCCCAGCATGAGAGGTAGGGGGAAAACAGGCCTCCCCAATGTTTCTCTATGCCTGTGCCTGGGACTAGTTAGGAGCAGTTTGATTAACTTAGTGTGGAATTAAGTAAAACTTTCACTGTCTTTCTGCAGAGCTACTGGAATTCTCCTTCACACTGTCAGCCAGTCAATAAGCATTTATTAATCTCCTACTATGTGCCAGAGGGCAGCTAGGTTGCACAGTGGCTAGATTGCCCTGCCTGAAGTCAGGAAGCCTCATCCTCCTGAGTTCAAATCTGACCTCAGACACTTCTTAGCTGTGTGACCCTGGGCTAGTCACTTAACTGTGGTTTCCTCAGTTTCCTCATCTGTATAATGAGCTGGAGAAGGAAACAGCAAACTGCTCTAGAATTTTTGCCAAGAAAACCTCAAATGGTGTCATGAAGAGTCAGACATGATCAAGGTGTCTGAACAAGATGTTCCAGGCAGTGCACTAAACTGGGAATACAAAGAAAGGCAAAAGTCAGTTCCTATCCTCAAGAAGCTTAGAGTCTATTGAGTAAGACAACAAGCAAAGTAATACGCACGAAGAAGCGATGTATAGGATAAATAGGAAGTAATCACCAGAGGGAATGCTCCAGAATTTAGAGGGATCAGACAAGACGTCCTGTAGAAGATGGGATTTTCGTTTGGACTTTAGTTTGAACTTGCAGATATCAGGGAAGCCAAGAGGAGAGAAGTGGAGGGAGAACACTCCAGGCCTGGAGGCCAGAGAAAAGCCTCCAACCAGAGAGAGTCCTTGTCTTGTTGTAGGAGCAGCTCAGAGGCCAGTCACTGGATGGAAGCCCTGGGGGATTTAAGGTGGAAGAAGACTGAAAAGGGGAATGGGGTGAATGGCTAGGTTATGCAAGGCTTTGAAGGAAAACAGGATTTTGTATTTGATTCTGGAGGTAATAGGGAGCCACTGGAGTTTATTGTGGGAGTGGAAGGAGTGACATGGTCAGGCCTTTGCTTTAGGAAAATCCCATTGTGGCTGAATGGAGGATGGCCTAGAGCAGAGAGACTTGTGGCAAGGATTCCATATTGCTCTGCCTGACCCCAGGGCCCAGATCCAGAAGCAAGGGGGTGATCAGGGTGCAGGGAAGATCAAGCTCAATGTAGGTAAAACCTTCTTAACAAATAGAGCTGTCCCAAGGGAGAATGTACTACCTTTGGAGGTAGTGAGCTCCAGATCACTGCTGGTCTTCAAGGGAGAGGCTGGATACTAGGGGATTTCATTTGTCTAGCAGACATTGTACTAGATGATCCTTGAGCTCCCTTCCAGGGAACCTTCTGAAGTCCTAGGATCCTGATGGGAAAAGAGCAAAGTCTTTGCCCATCTGGGAGTTTTCTCTACTCTGCCTTCAATGTTTGCTCTGGGTTATTTTTCACTGTTTAACAGAATCCTAATTTTAGAAGCTTTGCTAGAGAGCCCTCTGCTGGCAAAAAGCTGACCTGCATGAGCAGTGAGCAAAAACAACAGCAACCGTTTTTCTCTGAGACTTAACAGCTGACAGCGCACCTTCACAGTCACCCTCTCTAGTGAGCCTCCCAACTACCTGAGAGGCAGGCACACAGGTTATTCTGACAGCCTGAGAGATAAAGGACCAGGCTCAGAGAGGGGAAGAGACTTGTCCTGGGTCACACAGCTTCTAAGTGGGGAAAGGAGAGGGGGACCAATTTCAGGTCTTCTGACTTTAAACCAGTCTCTTTTCCAAAGGAACAACCTCATTCGTGTAAATACCCACTCTGGGCTCGCTCCTCCAACTTTCCCTTTGTCTGGCTGGACCTCATTCATGTAAATACCCACTCTGGGCTCACTCCTCCAACTTTCCCTTTGTCTGGCTGGCTGGGTCATAAGTTTAAAGAATCCTAGGATAATGGACAAAGGGCTGGAAGAGACCTTAAAGCCCCCTTTATTTTACTGATGAGGAAACTGAGGCAAAGA